TGATAAGCATGCAAAGTTTCAAAGTATTTCAAGAAGAACTGTAATCACAACGGCACACCAACGTTTACAGAAAATGGTAAAAACAGCAATTTTCAGTGATTTTAGCAATTTTTAATCAATTTGGGCGTGTCCCCACGTGTGCAACTTTTAGATTTTTAACTTTAAAACTAGCCTAATACACAATTTATACCTATAGGAAGCAGAACTGAGCTCCACAACCCAAGGGATAGCCCAACACCAGAGAATACTAAATCGCAAAATTGACGTTTTTATAAAATAATTCTTCAAAAAGCACTAACTTCAATGGCAAATATCTTTATGAAGGAGCAAGGTAGGGAAACTTTCCGGTAGATTTTCAGAATGCTTGAACAATTATCTAAGGTGAAAATGTCCTCAGATTTTGAATAAAATTACTCCTTAATGGTGTAAAATCAGTTTGAAAAGTTGTTATTTTGTCAAAAATCAAGTTTTAAAAACACTTAATTTGATGACGTCATCAAGTGGTGATGATGACGTTAAATTATTTTTCGATATAATTAAAACTGAAGTGTAAACAATTATCTTTAAGACCTGTGGTCGGAAATTGCTGTATCTTTTATACTTTTGAATCTCCGGACACTTAAATTCAGGCTACAATTGACTACATTTGACTGGCAAAGCGTCTATCCCTGAATATATGTATCACGACAATCTATCGTAAAACAGGGGTTCCAGAAAACCCATTTCCCGATACTCCTGAAACATGAAATTTTTTTTACAGTCGATTTGGTCAACGTCTAGACGCCCTGCAAAGTTTCAGATCTCTAACTCAATTTTAACATGGTTTTTAAGGCACCTGAATATGGCAATTTTGGGTTTTTTACCGAATTTCGTATAACATGCTGGCGCGTATTTTGCGCAAATTTCTTAAAAACCTCCAGATAACTATTTCTTGTTCCTGTCATCTTTAACATTGAATTAGAATGATTTGAACTTAAATATACCTGATGAACTACTTTCGATGAGTCTTAATGCCCGAAAAACAATAAAGGGTTATAAAAGTAAAGGGGGTAAATAGTAAAGGGGGTAAATAGTAAAGGGGGTAAATAGTATTGTGAATATAAGAGGCACGGTCATGCTTGCCAGCATTGTGATTGCGGCCAACAAATCTCAATCCAGGGATTACAGACCAACATTGGTCGAAGCAGCGAAATCAATCATAATTAAAAAGTGGGGTACTGGTCAGCGGTCAAGCAACAATCTGATCCGGATCCAGTGCCGATTTATTTTAGGTCTGGTATTCTTGGTACATATATTAAAGTCACTATTGTGACGGTACATTAGAACTAGACAGAAACAAAGTGTGAAGGGCCTGAACGGAACCCCTCGGTTTCAATTCCTTGTTTAACACTGCCGTACAGCAAGGACATTCGCCGGGTTCTCCAAGGATGGGCACATAACTCATTATGGTTTCATGGCATGAATAAATAAAAAGTTTGAAGTTGAATTTTGGTCTGGCACGTCACACATTTTATTTAAATTTGTACCAAGGAAAAATTGTTGGAGTTTTCACAAATCATGTATTAGTTATTTACTAATGACTCCTAATGTGAGCGTTTTTGAGTATATGATGTGCATGAGTCGGCAATTGCGAACAATTTGCTGTTTGTAACTGACCCATTGACCTTTACTAAAGAAACCGTAATTTTGAAAAATTGCCATTTCGTAAGACACAAATATGCTGCTGGCCTGGCCCATTAAAAGAGATGCCCAATAAAGTAAATCATTCTCCAATTTTTGTAGGTGTTTCTGGACACAAAGTGAGTCATCTTACATCTTGTGACAAATGCTGTGTTGATCATGAGTCTTTAAGACCTTTCTAGTTAACAGTCCAATAGCCCATTTGTGAATATTGTCATTGTTTGCTCGACAAAAATCCGTTTTTCAGCCACATTTCCGAAAATAAGCCTTCTAGGGTATATGTTGCTTCATAAGTTGTATATAAATGTGGCTATTAGGCACATTTTGGTGTATCAGAATAGTCTCTACGACCTTCCTAGGCGGAAATGCCAAAAATCACGGAAATTATGAACTGCGTCAAGCCAAAAACCGTTTTTCGGCCATATTTCCGAAACAAAGCATTTTAAGGTATATGTTGCTTCATAAGTTGTATATAAATGTGGCTATTAGGCACATTTTGGTGTATCGGAATAGTCTTTAAGACCTTCCTGGGCTGAAAAACAATAATTCGAGTGACCGCGAAACCCTGAAAAAGGGTGTGGCCGAAAACGCCCTCATTGCATGTATTTCAACCTTGCCATGAAGTCCAAATGTTTTAAGAATCATCTAGAGAGGTGATAACCGTTGAGAAATCGCTTTTAACACGAAAAACTAACGAGATAGCCTTTTAGAACGGTTGGGATCCGACTAATGTGTTGGTTCAGCCGAATTAATTATTATGTAATCAAGTTTATTTTTCTCTTTTAGTTAGTTGTCATCCGGCCAAACATTAAGCAACTTATATTGCAGTACCATTTATCAATTAGTATGTCAAAATATGTCATTGTAATTTTGCATGGCTGAAATGTAACGCTTGATTTATATATATAATAATTAATTGAATTTTCAAAAAAAAATAGTGACCACAGATTTAATGACAGCTGAAACCGTCCTCAATGGCCGGTGCTTGATTCTTTGACTGAAGATATTTCGACCTACGATTGGCATTTGGATTTCTCTCTGATGAACAAAAGCAAACGAACTGGTCCATTAAGTGAGCCAGGGAAGATAGTAGGAGTGTGGAATGGGAGAGCCTTGCTCACGAGATTTGTCTAATTGCTATTGTTCTATTTCACTCCAATTCCTTGTAGCCCCTCTTTACCCATTGTTTTATAAACGATTAAGTGATTAAAGGGGAAGAATCTTTGCGTGTACCCCGAGCAAGGTGTGTGGCATTGCAACTAGGTAACTTACTTGAGACGGCACTCTGCAGTATGTAACTTAATGTTGAACTCAAAGCCATGAAAGGTTACTATTGTTATGTGATGCAGATTGCAGGGTGTAAGCAATGGCGGAACGACCGCCCCCAATAAAATGCCTTTTAAAGATTTTACAAACGTATTCTCTAAAAATCAGGATATTAGAACAATTTAAGAGGAGAGGGGCGGCAGAATTTAGCGACATGGGCGGCCCACAGATACGTTTCGTCACTGAGTATAAGGATTATAATGTTTATCCACTAAGAGCAATCTAGAAAGTTTGAAGGTAATGTACTATGAAAATGCTATCCTGACGATGATCACCTTTTATTTGGAAATAGTTTTATACCTTACAAGCGTTGCCAAGCACTGCATATTGCACTTCATATAATACTAATAGTCGAATAACACGAATCAGTTAATTTTTAGCAAACAATACACTGGTTGGTATGTTGTGCAAGCATTGCTGTAGTATCTTCTGCTGGACAGAATCCCGTTGAAAATATTTATATTGACTTTAAAATGGCTCTTCCTGATCCAGTTTCAACCTTAAATTAGGCACAACTTACTTACTTTTGGAAACTGTCATCAAACTTGGATGGTTGACCTCCAGCTGGACGTTTTTGAAATGACAAATAATTAAGGATATCCATAATTAAGGATATCCATAATTAAGGATATCCATAATTAAGGATATCCATGCAGGAACTTCAAAATCTTCTGCAGGAACCTCAGAATCTTCTGCAGGAACTTCAGAATCTTCTGCTCGAACTTCAGAATCTTCTGCTCGAACTTCAAAATCTTCTGCTCGAACTTCAGAATCTTCTGCTCGATGCTGTTGAAAATATTGAAATTCGCCCTGAAATGGCTCTTCCAGATCTTGTCTTAACCTTAAATTGGGCACAATTACAACTTACTAGCGCCTTTTGAAATTAAACTGTCATTATTATACCTGTATGGTTGATTTCAAGCTGGCTGTTTTTGAAATTATAAATAATTGAGGGTAGTATTCAGATAGGCCGACCCCTGTTCGTGAACAGGTGTCCGTGAACAGGTGTTCGCGAACAACTTATGGCATGATGGCTACCAGATCATATGACTGCATAATAATCACCATTTAAACTCTCATCACGCAGGAAGTTTGATGCCGAAGATGCGGGTATTTATGTAGCTTCCATCTACATTGAGAAGGATGGAGAAAGCTTCAAATGTGAGGTCGAGGTCAAGCTTGTCCTTCTAGGTAAGATCAGGCTGTTTTCAAACACAAGGATTTATTTCTTGTCGCAGATTTGCGGATATTTGAATACCGAGGCTTCTCGACTATTTTCAGATTTTTTTCTTTTCTTTAATGATCATTACTTTCGATTGATGTCGTTCAATACTATCAACATTTTAATAGTTCTCGCTAATATTTGCTATTGGTGGTCCAACACTATATAATCAACTAAACTTGCTTTTCCTGATTCTGATACAAAACTACTTGTTCCTGATTCTATAAAGAACATTGATTACCAAAAGTACGTTTCCTCTCTGTAATCCAGGACGGAAAAGATTAAAAAGCTTACTTTTTAACATACTTTTTCTTTTTCAGAGGGATCGGTGAAACTGAACATTGCCAATGCTGAACAACTGTCTAAAAAGCAGAAGTCTGGACAACCTCTGGCTATCAAGTGTGACGTTGATATTGACAATGTAAGTTTACTGTTTAACGATGTAAAATTGTCAAATGTCTCGACTACTTTGTTATGGTACATTTTGATATCGACTAGGCCCAATGACAAAACTAATTTTGGAGTCTTAGTTTTTGGATAGCACGAGTGAGTATAGTAGGTCAATTGTGAGCCGGCGGCGCTTCGCAAATATGTGAGTAGAGTGAGACTCCCAGGATCCTCGTAGTTTTGTCATTGGTCGAGGACAAGGAATAAACGTCGACAGGTTTCATGCAGAGTGCAGACCAGCGTTTAGTTGAATCGCGTATTTAAAATTCGGGTATTGATCATTATACCACGAAAGCTAACATTTTATATATTCTCAGCTGAAACTGAAAGACCCTAAGAGTCCAAATAACATTAACTGGTACAGAGTAACTGATGACGGTGATGAACTTCTTGATGATAGTGATACTATCAGTATCGAACGAGGGAAAGGTCATTTTTTTGGATACTTTATCCTTTAATCATATTATCTTGAATAATAATATTTTGTAAAATATTGTAATGTTAGTCTAAAAATCGATTGCCAAAAGTTAATTTTTTATATATTATACTGTTTTTATTCTGGGTTTATTCTGACATACCACTCATAATTCAATGCAATAAGTAACTGGAATATCAATCTTTACCTAAATAATTAGTACAATTAATGTAATTATTAGTGTATAAATCTTAACCTGTGTTTATTTCAGGAACCTACCAAATGATCCTCAAGAACCCGAGCCCCGAAGACAGCGGCACCTACAGATGTGAGTTTGATCAACAAGGAGTGGACACATCTACAGACGTCACTATTGAGTTCAAGTAGATTACTCGCAAGATTGCAGGGCACATGTATAAGGACATGTACAGGTTTTTTTTATTATGGAAATAGATTTTTATGGAAATGGACTGAACTGATTTTTAAATTTTTAGTAAGTTGATATTTGATTTGCGACTTGACTACGATCTGAAGTGATATTTTTGTTGTACAATTTTTATCACACATGCATTCAAAACATATTGTTTTATTTTTTGTTATGTATAAAAAATAAAAACAAGAAATAACTTAAATTATAAGAGATTTATCCAATTCATCTGGAAAGCAGAAATATTTGGCCGCCCCAACAAAGAGGGACATTGTTTATACTTCAAAGTGTAAGCCCGGGAAGGAACACTACCAGAAAAGCAGGAAGGAACACTATTTACTATAATAATAGTATATTATCGAGATGTTGTGTGTTGTATTTGTCCACAAAAATACCATTACTACTACCAAATCAAATGATGGAATAGTTCGCTGTTTATTAGTCTCATGATTTGAATACTGATAGTATCCGGTTGGAAGAGACAAGGACAAATGAAGCAGCCTACATTCCTAACTTCCTGTTTCATTTGTCCTTGTCTTTTCCAACCGGATATTATCCAACTATCAGAACTACCAAATCGTTAAGACTCCGAGCTAGACTTACCTCTCCAGTCGCCGTGTTACTAGGGGACCCCAGGCTAATAGCGTTATTATACCTGTACATGGTTGTAGAATCTTTTGCTTGACAGGATCCTATGGTTGACCTCCAGCTAACCGTTTTTGAAATTACAGATAATTGAGGATCTCCAAGGGCTGTAGGATCTTCTGCTTGACAGAATCCCGTTGAAAATATTTGAATTCACTTTAAAATGGCTCTTCCTGATCCAGTTTCAACCATAAATTAGACACAAAGCTCATTTGCAGAAATAAAATGTTATACGACAAAGCATTAAAAAGTGTGGGGTTAGCACTTATCCAAGCTAATATTGGAGCCCAATTACTCAATGATAATCTGAACTGTTCTCACCAGTCACCACTGCACAATTGTAATTTTTAATTTTTAACCAATCTAACGCGTTTGTCAATACGTCACATAATTATTTTAAACAACAGTTAAAAGTCGTGCTTTTATTAATGTTCTAGATACTAAAATATCAGCATAATTCAATAATCCAATAAATGTTCCAATTAATCTAGCATTAAATATAGCATTATAATCAATATTTTGATTCAGATGCATAAATTTTCCGTTATGTAGACGATATGTTTTTATTGTCTTCTTTTTTTTTGTTTTCATTTTTTGTTTTATATTCATAATAGATTATTATATTACATAATAACGATACTAGTGTCTAGTAATATCTTATTCAAAATCAACCTTGCGATCTATGGTCTTCCAATTAGTTATACAACAAAGTTTGTGGAATTTGTATGATAGTATGAATAAGTTATTACGTAAACCACTCATAATTTAACATTACTATCATCACTTTACTAATTACAGATGAGTTGGTAAAGATAAGTGATAGAAGCTATATTATATCAATATCAGCGTATAATGTACTTAGTATACTTAATGTTAGTAATGTACTTAGTATACTTAATATACTTAATGTACTTAATGTACTTAATATACTTAATGTAATTCATGTACTTAATGTACTTAATGTACTTAATGTACTTAATGTACTTAATGTATTCAATGTAATTAATGTACTTAATGTACTTAATGTACTTAATGTACTTAATGTACTTAATGTACTTAATGTACTTAATGTACTTAATGTACTTAATGTACTTAATGTACTTAATGTACTTAATGTACTTAATGTGCTTAATGTACTAAATGTGCTTAACGTACTTAATGTACTTAATGTACTTAATGTGCTTAATGTACTTAATGTGCTTAATGTACTTAATGTACTTAATGTACTTAATATACTTAATGTACTTAATGTACTTAATGTACTTAATGTACTTAATGTACTTAATGTACTTACTGTACTTAATGTACACAATGTACTTAATGTACTTAATGTACTTAATGTACATAATGTACTTAATGTAATTAATGTACTTAATGTACTTAATGTACTTAATGTACTTAATGTACTTAATGTACTTAATGTACTTAATGTACTTAATGTACTTAATGTACTTAATGTACTTAATGTACTTAATGTACTTAATGTACTTAATGTACTTAATGTACTTAATGTACTTAATGTACTTAATGTGATTAATGTACTTAATATACTTAATGTACTAAATGTACTTAATGTACTTAATGTGATTAATGTACTAAATGTACTTAATGTACCTAATGTACTAAATGTACTAAATGTACCTAATGTACTTAATGTACTTAATGTACTTAATGTACCTAATGTACTTAATGTACTTAATGTACTTAATGTACTTAATGTACTAAATGTACTTAATGTACTTAATGTACTTAATGTACTTAATGTACTTAATGTACTTAATGTACTTAATGTACTTAATGTACTTAATGTACTTAATGTACTTAATGTACTTAATGTACTTAATGTACTTAATGTACTTAATGTACTTAATGTACTTAATGTACTTAATGTACTTAATGTACTTAATGTACTTAATGTACTTAATGTACTTAATGTACTTAATGTACTTAATGTACTTAATGTACTTAATGTACTTACAAATATTAATTATCACGTTGACAACGTAGTCCTGTTAAACTGACTCCCCTTCATAATTGTATCCCATGTTTTATTTACCTCTTCTTTCATTGCTCATCTACTTTTGCTGAATATTATTTAAGTCGTTCATTTCTGGCGTTATCATCTAACTTGATCGTTTTTATACTGCTTTATCTCTCAAAATGCCGTCATAAGCTCTATTCTTTGTCTCAGCTAATCATTTCTTTATTATCTCGTACTTCAGTCATCTCTGCTGTTCCTGGAACTTCTCCGTCTTGTACTGCCACACAATCCATCTCAATGGTCTCAACTGGTGATGATCGGTAAATTCTTGAACCAGTGATTAGGGTTCCGAGTCTTTGGATAGGTAAGCTTATAAGGTTTGTTACAGTTTTATCATAGATTAGTGGGTTTATGACGGAGTTGATCGGTAAAACAATCATGGAAAACAGGCCATACCATGGTGTTGCATCTAGAACCTCAAGGGAATGTAGAACACATATCATTATGAAAGGTACCCAGCAAAGGAAATCTGTAGTGATAATGATGGCGATTCTTAAGTTCATTTTCCTATTGCGTTGTGAAATCTGTTGGTTCCCTCCTGACTGTGTCAAACTTTTAGAAGATTTGCGAGATATGATGCCAATGATCAAGTATGAGGCTGTAATGAAAAAGAAGCACACAAAGTTCAGGGCAAGAATTGCCCATACCAAGTGCCTCTGTGGATCATTGACCATTGTCTTTGACAAAATATTTGAAGAGGCAAACACCATCGTTTCCATAGAAATCCACCTTTTGGATGTTTTTCGTGTAGTTTTCATAACCATTATCGTGAGAATACATCTCGGACATCATTTTGTTGATCATACGCCAGCTTAGTGTTGTTTCCTTCATTCTACCAAAGTATCCTTGAAAGGCAGCAAATAGTGTCTGCTTGTTCATTGTTCCAATAAATACCTTTATCTCTTCTGCATACTTCACTCCATTGACAAAGAAGTCCTCGAATTTGGAAATAATTGGGATTACAGCAATGACAATGGACGCCAACGTCATCATTAAAACACCTCCTGCAACTTGGAGTGATTTTACCAATGTAACTTCTCCCGGAATTCTCATGGATTTGTGTATTCCGTAAATTCGGGTGAGGCTCAATGCACACATAGCAAAAAGCGAGACTTGACATCCTATGGTGCTAAGAACTCCAATAGTTGAACATTGGATGCTGGTAATCCATCCGATCTGTTGGGTACAATAATCTATCTTGAAGATTACACCATCATAAATTGATATGACCAATAAGTAGATACCAACTAAAAGGTCTCCAAACGATATCATCATGATGAGGGACTTATTAAACAGAGCTACAGTAGTTCTACAGTTCTTTAAGGTTCCAGTATTTTTGGATATGATGATAAAATTAGCCAAGACGGCTAGAAATCCTATAATCCATGATGAAAATTTGAGAGCATTCCCTTCTAGAATTTCTCTAGAACACTGATTATTGCATTCGTCTGTTAAATCCAGGCAGTCAAATGATCCGTCACATTTCTTTGTCACCGGTATGTAACTACCGTTACATTTGAAATTATTTGTGCAGCTGTCTTCATCCGAACCATCCCCGCAATCATCGATGAGATTGCATACTTGGGAATAATCAATGCAAGTGATATTATTGTCACAGACGAAATATCTATTCGTATAAATATTTCCATATGATTTTGTGACAAATGTTAGGAATTCGTTATTGGCTATCGTCCCTATTCTTTTATGATATTGTCCTGGACACGCCTCATACCTAGGAATATTTCTCAGTGGACAGGAAGAGTTGATACACTTTTCTGCACAACTAGTGTACAAATATTGTTCTCCAAACATGTGGTCACAATTTTGAGTAACATTTGGCATTATAACCGTTGTATTGGTTCCTCCGTAAACGTTTTCATTTGAAAATATAAACGTGCTAATCGTGAAGCAATGATTTTTGAAGTTTTTAGTGTTTTTTATCCCCTTTATGCAGTATGATAAATGCTTTATTAGGCTTTTGTCAGTTGTTAAAACAGTTGTGGACAGTTTCGGTTGTTTGCGGGAGTCAGAGCAGATCTTATTTTCATTTCCACATGTTTCAACTCAATCACATAGTTTACTGAATTCCACATATCCAGGATCACCCCATGGACAAAGGTACACATTTTCACACGACGTGTCTTTGCTGATAACATATCTTAATGATTTGGTGCTCCCACAAGTAGGCCAACTGTCATCTTCGTCGATTTCACTCAAACAGTCCTTAAACCCATCTCTTAACCAAGCTAGAGGTATTGGGAGTTCCCCTTTCTGGCAGCCACGTCTTTCACACTTTACCAGTGTCATGGTGATGCAGATACGATCAGTTTCATCACTTTTATCATTGCAGTCTGGTTGACCATCACACATTAAGTGCCTGTGAACAGTACACTGACTAGAGGTTTGTATGCACTGGTTCTCAAAGTTATCGTCACATATTGCCTTTTTACCAAAGCAGATCATA